CCCCAAAACCCCAAAACCCCATGAATAAAATTTTTCTTATGATTAATTATAAAATAAATTCATTTTATTTCATATCATTCTGTTCTGTTCCTAAATGTCAAATCATAATTTAAATAATTAAGTCTCTTGAAAGACATCGTTTTCCAATTACATATCATCTATGGAAGTAGAAGTTTTGTTATCATTTCTCAAAGTAAAATATCTTTTACTAAAGATTTAATCATCTAATATCGGTTTTATTGGCTGTTGTTTCATCTTTAATAAATTTGTTTGTTATAGTCTTTTACTATTTTAATTAGGAAATTATTAATTTTTCTTATTAAAAATCTACGATATTTATTCAACTTCTATTGAAAGCTCATGGCTCTCAAGTTTATTTTCAATACTTTTATCGAATTCACTCAAATTTAGTGAATTCATTTCTACATATCTCCTCAGAATACCAATAAACAGCTTCTATGATAATGTTCTCTTGCTGTCCTAATTAATTTTTGGATTGAATAAACTATCTAAAATTTTTTGATTTATTAAACTAGTGCCTTTATTCTTTTAATTAGCGAATAATTCAAGCATTAAATTCACAATACCTTCTTAATTTTTTTATTAAGACTTTTAATTTTATTTTTAATTTTCTCTTACCAGCTATTTTTGATAGCAAACACTGATCAAATTTTATTAAAAGTATGGAATAAGACGCCTTTAGAATTTTTCCAAAACCATTTTCTTAATCATTTTAATATCTCTTTAGTACTTTATCTAGTATTAAACATCAAAGGATTGGTTTATGTATGTTTTGCCAAATTTATACAAGCTTATTCTTTTGCTTAACTTTTTCTTATTAAAACAAATCATTCACTATATTAGAGCTAAGAAAGCTTCCTTAGTCGTGTAGTAAAATGGCTTCCTATTCCATAGGTCATGAATTAATTACAAATAAATTTAAGGTTGAGATGCATTTATGTTAAGGCTTTTGATACTATTTTCATGGTCATTAACTAAAAATCTTTTCTTAAGCATACTTTAAATGAAAAAAAACTCTTATAACCATCCAATCAAAATGTTAACGATAAAAGTGATGATCCCCAAGAGTCCACCAGTATTAGATAGTAATTATACAAAATTGTTTAGAGATCTTTCAATTATGGTAAAATCATTTTTCATTTTAATCCTAAATACTATATATGGATCTGTTTCTATTCTTTCTAAACTTGATGTTGATTCTAGATTTGTTTAATAATAATCGAAACGATAGGTCGAAAGTGACTCATGTAATTTTGAAATTGATCCAATTGCTTAATTAGGCTACAGATTATAAACAATTTATCTTAGACTTTGAGAATTCACAAAATATCTTCTGATGTCAACTGAGGCTTTAATTGGATCTGAGGAGAAATCCTAACTGTCAAAAAATTTACTTGTAATCATATATCTGACTTTGAATTCTTTAATGAACTAGGTGATTTTTGTTTAATTAGTTTCACATTTCAATTTAGGAAATCTTGAGGATAAATATTCTTAGTTGCAAGGGTTCAAACGTATATCTAAAACAATTGTCTCGCCCATTAAATCAATAATTTGTCCGTCATTAAAACAAAATGTTTCGTATCCAAGCTTGTTTGCATTATCCAATGTTGTAATAAATCATTCATTTTTAAAAAGCCTGTTAGTATTACAAGAAATTATTTTGATTTACTATCTTAAGCTTGATGTTGCATTATATATTTCTGCTGTGAGACTAATGTATTCGTAAATATTTTATGAGAAAGTCTAATTATTTTATGGTGGTATCAATGTTAATGCCCAATCGAACATGTCCTTTGTGATGTTGAACTTAACCTAAGTTAAGTCCTAATAACTTACTATCGATTTTATAGTACTTTTATTTTCAAGAATGTCATTAACCTAGAATCCCAAATATAGAATGATTAGAGATGCTGATAGTAAAGTTAAAACTGCTCCTAAATACGTTTTATAGGTCTCACTCTGCTTGTACAATAATCTAATTTTATGCCCAAATAGATCTGCTTATTTGAAGCGTTAAAGTATTCTGTAGAATTTCATTTTTATAATCTGATTTAATTATTAGTAAATTAGTGTTAATGCTAAATTTCTTAATTTATAACTAATTGACATAATTCTTAATTAAGGGGTTTTGGGGTTTTGGGG